GTTTCCCCTAAATCAGCGGTTCTCAACCTGTGGGTCGGGACCCCATTTGGGGTCGAACGACCATTTCACGGGGGTTGCCAAACAACGCAGTCCGCCATTTTTTCCCCCTTTTCTTTGGCCACGCCCCTGGCACCTGGTGATGTATAAGTGGTTGGGGATCACCACAACATGGGGGACTGTATTATGGGGTCGCGGCATTAGAAAGGTTGAGAACCACTGCCCTAAATGTTGGAAATGTAATTTGAAAAGTGGAACTTACTATCATATGTGGTGGAAATGCACGCGAGCTTGTGATTTTTGGAACAGGATTAAAATATGGTTGGAAGAAATATTAGAGCAAGCGGTAGAAGTAAAACCAGAACTCTTTCTATTAGATTTAACTACGCAAAAGCATGACAAAGGCGTACTTTATTTAATGCTACACATTTTAACGGCTTCCAGGCTGGTTTTTGCTCAAAATTGGAGGAATAAGGGAACCCCAACGGAAGAAGAGATCCTGCATAAAATTCTATCAGGTGCTGAGATGGACAGGCTTACAATGATTATGAAAGACAAAACAGAACACGAATACTTCGAAATCTGGGGCAAATTTTACCGTTGCTATGAATTAAGAAGTGCTCGGACTTCAAGCTAATGGTAGAATTAAAAGATATACATAACTGTACATATAATTGTATATATAATTGTATTGTATAGAAGATGAGGCTTATACAGAGGTTAAGAACAATGTATTAAATTTTTGTACTATGATAGGAACTGATAGGAAAATTCACTCTGGAATGTCATGTTTGTCCATTGTTGTTTTAATTGTATTATGAATAACAATAAAAAAAACAGAGACGAAAACCCAACGGGCTTGCAGCTAATTCCCATGAACTCAGGAAAACATAAATTTCCAGGCAAATTTTCAGTTGGCTTCAGGTGGAGAGACGCAAGGATTGGGTACTTTCGTGTATGCATGGCAGACTAGGTGTACTGTGAGTTATAGTCCCATCCTGGGCATGATAAACTGGCTGGGTGACTTTGGGTCAATCACCACCAGGAGACGGTGAGTTCTAGTCCCGCCTTAGAAATGAAAGCCAGCTAGGTGACTTTGGGCCAATCACCAGGAGATGGCGAGTTCTAGTCCCGCCTTAGGCAAGAAAGTGGCTAGGTGGCTTTGGGCCAATCACCAGCAGGAGACAGTGAATTCTAGTCTCACCTTAGGAATGAAAGCCGGGTAGGTGACTTTGGGCCAATCACCAGGAGACTGCGAGTTCTACTCCCGCCTTAGGCACAAAAGTGGCTAGGAGACTATGGGCCAATCACCACCAGAAGACAGCGAGTTCTAGTCCTGCTTTAGGCATGGAAAATCATCTGGGTCACATTGGGCCAGTCCCTCTCTTTAAGCCCAACCTACCACCCAGGATTGCAGTTGTGGGGAAAAAAAATGAAGGGGTCTTCGGCACATTCGCTTGTTTGCCCGATTTTTAAAAGTAATAAAGGTAGCTTTCAAAAAAAAATTCTAATAAAAATTTCAATCTGCACCAAGACCAGGGGTAGGCAACCATGGCTCTCTTATGACTGGTGGACTTCAACTCCCAGAATTCCTGAGCCAGCCATGCTGACGGGAGAGGGAGAGGTTTCCAAGCTGAGCCAGGCTGGCTCAGGAATTCTGGGAGTTGAAGTCCACGAGTCATGAGGGGGCCGTACTTCCCCCATACTGGCTCAGGAATTCTGGGAGTGGAAGTCCACCAGTCATGAAGTGGCCATAGTTCCCCCATGCTGGTTCAGGAATTCTGGGAGTTGAAGTCCACCAGTCATAAAAGAGCCAAGGTTGCCTACCCCTGACCAAGACAGTTAAGGCAGACCACAGCATTCCCATCCGTCATTTTTCCTGACCATAAATAATCCCGTGAGGTACCATTGACCGGAATGAATGATTGGCTAAAGTTTACCTGGCTGAAGGTGGATTCCACTTTGGTTCTCACTCTCATACACACACACACAGTCACATCCACAACCCACCTTGCTCACACCATATGGAGGCCAACAGCCTCTCACGCCGGTGATTATATTGAGCTGACAGCCCTCCCCTGCTCAAGCCCTTGTGAGGTCCCTTCCCCAGTGCTCCCAGAGGGCCACCAGCACTCCATTCTGGGCCATCAAAATCCAGACGAAGGGTCTTCAAACCTGGCCACTTTAAGACTTGTGGACTTCAACTCCCAGAATTCTTCAGCCAGAATTCTGGGAGTTGAAGTCCCCAAGTCTTAAAGTGGCCATGTTTGAAGACCCCTGATCCAGACTGTTAGCCAGAACTTCAGAGAAACGTTCTGGGCTCACACAAGACTAAGAAAACCTTGAACCTTGCTTGCCTTGGCTCAGTTACAGATGTGGTATCACATCCAGATGTGCTACTACGAAGTCCTCTTCTGACCTGGCACCCAGATAGCCACACCTGGGAACCGTTGAGCTTGCCCGTTTCGACGAAGTCCCATTCGTCATCTTCAGGCTGGTGTTTTCGGCTTCATGCTTCTAGGAGCATGAAGCCAAAAACACCAACCTGAAGATGACGAATAGGACTTCGTTGAAACGTCGGCAAGACACTTCCAATTTTACGTGGGAGAAAACCCAAAAAACCAAAGACCTACATATACATACATACATATATATGTTTTCTGAGGTTTTCGCGGGTGTTTGTATGTAGGTCTTTGGTTATTCGGGTTTTCTCCTGCGTAAAATTGGAAGTGTCTTGGCGACGTTTCGACGAAGTCCCATTCGTCATCTTCAGGCTGTTTTCAGCTTCGTGCTTCGAGGCTTCCAATTTTACGTGGGAGAAAACCCGAACAACCAAAGACCTACACACACACACACACACACAAACTTTTTAATTTTATTTCCCCCAATTCTCCCCCATACATATCAACAAATATACCGCAATATTTTATCACGTGTTAACATACATTCTTTTTACATTCTTATTTATCAGATACTCTTTAAGTCCGAGTAACTTCGATAAATATTTAAGATCCCCTTGTAGGCCCAGCTTGCCGGCAGAGCGAAAGCACCACACCAGCCAAAAGTTGAGAATTAAAACTTTTATTAGTGTATTCACATAGTAGGCAAACGCAACACAGATGAAAGCTTTCCTCTCGCTTATTATTTTATTTTTTATTTTATTTTTTACAAGTTCTACCAATACGTAATGAGGCGCTACTGGTAAAACGACACAAATTGGCAACTCTTTGCCCGTTCTCCTGAATTGCCCGGCCCGCTTGGTTTCCCACCCGCCGTGATTTATTTATTTTAAAATTTTGTATTCATTTTTATTTTATTTTTTTTGGTATTGCTCTTATGCCCTATTTTGTTACGGCATTAAAAAAAAAATTGGGGGGAAAAAAAAACACAAAACACCTCGCCGCCTTCGGTTCGGGCAGCCGCGATTACAACGCTTAACACTGGCCAAAACATTAGTTGTCAAAGCTAGGAATTGCCACTAGGTGTACTTACAAAGTACAAGACTAGTGCAAAGTAACCTTTGTTTGGGGGGGGGTGGGGGGGGGAAGGAGGAAAGAAAAAAACGAGAGGAAAAGGCAATCCCGCCACTGTCACGGAGACGAGGACAGACAGCCAAGATCACAAGACGGTTAGTAAAAGATGTATACTCAAGTCAGAAGACCCCTTTTCTCTACAGTTTCCCCAACCCTCCTTTAACCCAACCCAGACGTTATCTGTAGAATATAATTCAAAATATTTTTATTTTTGTTTTTATTTATTTATTTATTTAAAAAAAAGAAGAAGCAAGGTCCAGATGTAGGAGTGTCCCAATATTCACCCTTAACGCAGAGGCAGGCAACCTTGGCTCTTTTATGACTGGTGGACTTCAACTCCCAGAATTCCTGAGCCAGCCTGGCTCAGCTTGGAAACCTCTCCCTTTCCCCTCAGCGTAGCTGGCTCAGGGATTCTGGGAGTTGAAGTCCACCAGTCATAAAAGGGCCAAGTTTGAAGACCCCTATCCTAGGCCTAGAGTCTAGACCAGGGGTAGGTAACCTGGGCTCTTTTATGACTCGTGGACTTCAACTCCCAGAATTCCTGAGCCAGCATGGCTCAGCTTGGAAACCTCTCCCTTTTCCCTCAGCGTGGCTGGCTGAGGAATTCTGGGAGTTGAAGTCCACGAGTCATAAAAGAGCCAAGGTGGCCCACCCTTGCCCAAATGCCTGAATTTTGATCTTGTGACCCTGAGGAAAAAGATTTAAATATTTAAACCAGGGGTCTTCAAACTTGGCTCTTTTATGACTGGTGGACTTCAACTCCCAGAATTCCTCAGCCAGCATGGAGGAACTATGGCCCCCCTCATGACTGGTGGACTTCAACTCCCAGAATTCCTGAGCCAGCATGGCTCAGCTTGGAAACCTCTCGCTTTCCCTTCAGCGTGGCTGACTCAGGAATTCTGGGAGTTGACGTCCACCAGTCACAAAAGAGCCAAGGTGGCCTACCCCTGGCCTAACGTGTACTGCGGAGGGTCTTCCTTTGGTCAAGCCCTAAGCGGCCCACGGAAGCCACGGCTTCTTCAGCTAGATCAGGGGTAGGCAACCTTGGCTCTTTTATGACTCGTGGACTTCAGCTCCCAGAATTCCTGGCCCAGCATGGCTGGCTCAGGAATTCTGGGAGTTGAAGTCCACAAGTCATAAAAGAGCCAAGGTTGCCTAACCCTGGGCTAGATCCTATCCTTGGATGCTGCTCGTGGCTCGGTTCTACTACCCGAAGCCTTTGGGGAGGGGGACAAATGCCCCTTTGTACAGCCCTTTCTCTTTTGCCATCTGCAAGAAGCACACCCCGAGGCTTGCCGAGTTGCCAAGCCGGAAATTTGGGGAGCAGGGACCCCCCCCCTCTCCAGTAAAACGGGAGTCATGGTGGCCTTATTCCTCCTCCTCCGATGTAGCGGAAAATTAACAGGAGAAGCAGTCCCCAGTTTGGCCTTCCCCTTTGTCAATTGGATTTAGAAGCCTAGCAAGCAAACATGTCATTTAAAAAAAAAAACAACAACAACACTATTTCCAGGGGTTTGTGTGTGTGTGTGTGTGCAGGCTTTGCAGGTCCCCTTAACCTGCTGATGGAGGCATTTAAAGAAAACAACACCCCAGCCCTTCTCTTTTTATCCTGGTCGAGAATGATCAAGGTGTAGCTACTCTGAGGGTATCCTCCTGTCCCTCTTGAGTAAGGTTTGAAAATCTACTACTACTAAGGGATAATAAGTGACATTTGTGTCTTGGAAGGAGCAGGAGGTGAGGGAGAGAAGCTGACTGATTCACCACTTAGGAGAAAACTTGATTGGCTCACTGGTTGTTGGAAACCAAACCGGCTTACTACTACACCAGTGTTTCCCAAACTTGACCATTTTAAGGCATGAGGACTTCAACTCCCAGAATTCCACAGCCAGCGTTGCTGGCTGTGGAATTCTAGGAGTTGAAGTCCTCATGCCTTAAAATTGTCAAGTTTGGGAAACACTGTACTACACTACTCCGGCAGGGATGGCCAGCCGCAGATGCACTGGCTGATGGGACAGGATGAGTCCCAATGATCGAAACCGGATCGTTGGCGATCCGAGGCGTGAGAAAGGGGAGGAATTCCACTTTATTTGGAACACGTCCGGTCCCCGCGAGGTTCCAGGGGAATCAAACCCCCAAGTTTAATCTTAATTTCAAGATAAGGGAACTGGAGGCTTCCTTTGGCAAATGTTTCTCCTGGGGCAGTGAAAAGCCTGCATACACACACACACGCACGCACACACACGCACACATACACGCAACCGATATGTATACAAAAATATATATAAAAAAAACAACAACAATATGGCGAACCAAGTATTTAGGCTTTTTTAGGAGATGCCCGCTGAGAGCTGGATCTCTGTAACTGCCACCTTCCTTTGCCCAGGCTTCCTGACCTATTACTAACTGTACTGTCCACGTTACTGGTAAACCTGGAGGATACTGGATTTATATGTACCCAATAATAATAATAATAATAAAAACCCACCATTAAAGTCTTTAAATGTCCCTCCTTGGGGAGGAGGTGTTTCTATACACTAACGTTTCACCTAGTATCAGAGTATAGGAAACAGAATCCACAAGGTGCTTGAAAATTCATGACATTCTCAAGTGCTTTCTCTCCCTCCCTCTCTCTCTCTCTCTCTTTCTTTCTTTCTCTCTCTCTCTCTCAGAACTTTTTTTTTTTTTTGGATAGGAAAAACAGTTCATGGAGACCACGCGCGAGTTGATTGCCAGGACTTCCGTTCTTCTGAGCCCGCCGAGATTACGACATGCTGGAGCATCGCACTGAGGGGGAACCCATCTGAGTCAATACTTTGTCCAGCCACTGGAGAGGCCCGTTCAGGTGCAGCTCGATCCAACAGGGGGTGCTGGTGACCGTTTGGCGCCTGGAAGGGCAGAGAAGGAATGGATTTAAAAAAAAAAAAAAAAAAGGCGTTGTGGCATTGTGAAAACAGCACACCGGCCGGAACAACGTGCCTTTCTTAATACAGGTAGACCTTAATAATAATAATAATAGAGTTGGAAGGGACTTTGGAGGTCATCTAGTCCAACCGCCTGCTCAGGCAGGAGACCCTATACCATTTCGGACAGATGGCGGTCCAGTCTCTTCTTAAAAACTTCCAGTGTTGGAGCATTCACAGCTTCTGGAGTGGAGCGGAGTGGAGTGGAAGAGAGAAGAGAAGAGAAGAGAAGAGAAGAGAAGAGAAGAGAAGAGAAGAGAAGAGAAGAGAAGAGAAAAAATGGAGTGGAGTGGAATGGAATAGAACAGAACAGAACAGAACAGAACAGAATAGAATAGAATATGAAATGGAGAATAGAATAGAATAGAATAGAATAGAATAGAATAGAATAGAATAGAATATGGAATGGAGAATAGAATAGAATAGAATAGAATAGAATAGAAGAGAAGAGAAGAGAAGAGAATAAGGAATGGAATGGAATGGAATGGAATAGAACAGAACAGAACAGAATAGAATAATGAAATAGGATAGGATAGAATAATGAAATAGGATAGGATAGGAGTAGAATAGAATAGATATTGGAGGAATAGAATAGAATAGAATAGAATAGAATAGAATAGAATAGAAGGAAGGGATCTTAGAGGTCATCTAGTCCAACCCCCATGTCAAGCAGGAAACCCTATACCATTTCAGACAAATGGGTGTCCAGTCTCTTCTTAAAAACGTGTGTTGGAGCATTCACCTTGACTGACAACTGACCGCAGTTACAATGGCATTGAAAAAAAAGGGAGTTATGACCATTTTTCACATTCGCAGCCTCTGCTGCAAGTGACCATAATAGAAATTCGGATGCTCGGCAATTGGCTCATCTTTATGACAGTTGCAGTGTTCCCAGGTGTGTGTGTGTGTGTGTGTGTGTGTGTGTGTGTGTGTGTGTGTGTGTGTGTGATGTGATCCCCCCCTTCTGACAAGGAAACTCGATTGGGAAAGCCAGACGCACTTTTAACAACCGTCTTACTAGCTTAGCAACTGCAACGATTCACTGAAGAACCGGGGCTTTTAAGAAAGATCGTAAAACGGGTCAAAAAACTCACTTTACAATCCCTCTAGAATAGTGATTCTCAACCTTTTTAATGCTGCGACCCCCAACCGGTCGTACGTCGAGGACTACTCAACCGGTCGTCAGTCGAGGACTACTCAACTGGTGCAGCACCGTTTGCTGAAGGGAACTTTTGGCGGGCTCAGCAGGGCAGAGACAGCCTGGACGATTCCTATTGGCTTTTGAAAGCCAATAGAATTAGACTCTATTCAAGAGAGTCTATTCTATTGGCTTTCAAAAGCCAATAGAATAAAAGGGAGTAGCACAGCTAAGGAAAAGGGGGGGAAAAATGGCCGACTGCGTTGTTTGGCGACCCCCGTGAAATGGTCGTTCGACCCCAAATGGGGTCCCGACCCACAGGTGGAGAACCACTGCTCTAGAAAGAGTGCAGAGAAGAGCAACAAAGAGGATCAGAGGTCTGGAGGCTAAAACATATAAGGAACGGTGGCTGGAATTGGATATGCCCCGTTTAATGAAGATTTTTATATTTTTTTAAAAAAAGAAGAATGCTAAGCTTTAGGCTGGGCTAGGCTGGGTCCTGTGAAAAAGATGGGGACCCCACCGGAAGGGAGACTGAGGAATTCAACCCTGCCCCGAGGGTATTCTTCAAGGCAGCTCCACCCACCTGTACTCCGCTCCCCATCCTTTGACGAAGCTCATCCTGATGGTGCACATCCGGGTGAGCTGGTACACGGCTTCGAAGCCCTGATTCACAGACTGAGCCAGGAGAGCAGCAAATTCCTGGTTGTTGAAGATCTTCAGGTTGCAACCTAGATGAAGGGAGAAGACAGCCGTTGGTTACGGAGGGCGAAGTTGCCAGCATCTTCTCCAGGTGAATATTATACAACCCAGAGGCCTTCAAACTTGGCCCTTTGATGACTGGCGGACTTCAACTCCCAGAATTCCTCAGCCAGCAAAGCTGGCTGAGGAATTCTGGGAGTTGAAGTCTGCCAGTCATCAAAGGGCCAAGTTTGAAGACCCCTGGTCTGGATCCAAGCCTGCAGTTTCATCAAAATGGCCGACTGAGGAATTCTGGGAGTTGAAGTCCACAAGTCATCAAAGGGCCAAGATTGAAGGCCCCCTGGTCTGGATCCAAGCCTGCAGTTTCATCAAAATGGCCGACTGAGGAATTCTGGGAGTTGAAGTCCCCCAGTCATCAAAGGGCCACATTTGAAGATCCCTGCATGTGGACTTCAGCTCCCAGAATTCCTCATCCAGGCACGTTGGCTGAGGAAGTCTGGGAGTTGAAGTCCACAAGTCATCGAAGGCCAAGTTTGAAGACCCCAGAGCTAGTTTAGAGATGGCTATAAGGCAGTTCCCTCCCCAGCAAAGGTTAATATACACACAGCCCAGGGAGAATGAAGGATCCCTGAATTTTATACGTTCTTTCTGAAAGAAAGGCAAATTCGAGTGTTTTCAATTATACCGAATGCACAAAAGTTATTTTTCGTAGCCTATATGCACCCCAGCTCTCAGGAACACACTCTATCATTCAGAAATAAAACGAGAAGTGCAACCCACAGCATCAAAATGACAATGGAGAGAACACAGTCAGTGCATTTGAAAATATAGCAGAACAAGAATTGGAAAGCTGGCTGAGGAATTCTGGGAGTTGAAGTCTGCCAGTCATCAAAGGGCCAAGTTTGAAGACCCCTGGTCTGGATCCAAGCCTGCAGTTTCATCAAAATGGCCGACTGAGGAATTCTGGGAGTTGAAGTCCACAAGTCATCAAAGGGCCAAGATTGAAGGCCCCCTGGTCTGGATCCAAGCCTGCAGTTTCATCAAAATGGCCGACTGAGGAATTCTGGGAGTTGAAGTCCCCCAGTCATCAAAGGGCCACATTTGAAGATCCCTGCATGTGGACTTCAGCTCCCAGAATTCCTCATCCAGGCACGTTGGCTGAGGAAGTCTGGGAGTTGAAGTCCACAAGTCATCGAAGGCCAAGTTTGAAGACCCCAGAGCTAGTTTAGAGATGGCTATAAGGCAGTTCCCTCCCCAGCAAAGGTTAATATACACACAGCCCAGGGAGAATGAAGGATCCCTGAATTTTATACGTTCTTTCTGAAAGAAAGGCAAATTCGAGTGTTTTCAATTATACCGAATGCACAAAAGTTATTTTTCGTAGCCTATATGCACCCCAGCTCTCAGGAACACACTCTATCATTCAGAAATAAAACGAGAAGTGCAACCCACAGCATCAAAATGACAATGGAGAGAACACAGTCAGTGCATTTGAAAATATAGCAGAACAAGAATTGGAAAGCTGGCTGAGGAATTCTGGGAGCTGGAACACAAGTTTTAAAAGTTGCCAAGTTAGGAGAGGCCTGAGATAAACCTAACCCTTTTAAAGATTCTGCAGCATTTAAAAAACAAAATTAACAGCTTTTGGAGACGCTGGAATTCTTCTCCCAATGTTCCCAGGCAGAGTTTCTGCTGGTTAAAAAAATAAAGATTTGAATGTCCAGGATCCGATAGACGAGACCGGATCGATCAAAACCCCCAGGCTTGAGAATGCCTCCAAAGAACAGCCAGCTTCGTTGCAGAGTTGACATGAACGTTCAGAAGATCTAAAAAAGGCATCCCCTGGAAGACATCTGCCTGGCAACGCTGGGAATGTATTTTAATGTATGAAATATATTCTTTTTTGACTTCACGTATCTTACCCGGCGGGATTTTGCACACAGTTGCCGGATGCCAGCCGTATCTCTGGTTACAGTTGGGACTCTGCACGAAGATTGCGCTGTCGCTTAAGCACTCGGCAAAAACTTCGCCACCGATATAATACAGGCGCACTCCCCTTCCTGGGGGGGGGGGTTGAGGACCGGGAGGGGAGGACAAGGAGCAGAGGAAAGAGAAAGGCTGAAGGTTAACACCTGAACAGCTTAGGCCCCTTCTATGATTCTGAGAATGAGCTGGGCTCTTATTCTTTTATAGCTCATATGCCACAGTTATTACAGTAAAGGGAAGAGCTGAACTTTGCTTCTTCTTGTGTTGCTTGTTTAAATGTTTTTTATGTCAGGAAAAGAAAGGGAGAGAGAGGGGGGGGGAGAGAGGGAAAGAGAAAGAAAGAAAGAAAGAAAGAAAGAAAGAAAGAAAGAAAGAAAGAAAGAAAGAAAGAAAGAAAGGAAGGAAGGAAGGAAGGAAGGAAGGAAGGAAGGAAGGAAGAAAGGAAGGAAGAAAAGAGAAAAAAGAAAGAGAAAAAGGGAGGGAGAGGGAGGGAGGGAGAGAAAGGGAAGGTGGGAAGGATGGAAGGGGGAGGGAGGGAGGGAAGAAGGAAGGAAAGGAAGGAAGGAAGGAAGGAAGGGAGGAAGCAGGAAGGAGGGAGGAAGGAAAGAAGGAAGAAAGGAAGCAGGAGAGAGGGAGGAAGGGAGAAAGGAAGAGGGGGAGACAGGGATGGAGGGATGAAACGGGAGGGAGGAAGGGAGGGAAGGAAGGTGACAGAGGGAAGGAGGGAGGGAGGAGGAAGAAAGGGGGAAAGAGGGAGGGAGGAAAGGAAGGAAGGAGAGGAAAGGAAGGAAGGAAGGAAGGGGGAGAGAGGGAGGAAGGAAGGAGGGAGGGAGAAGGAAGAAAGGGGGAGGGAGGGAGGGAGGGGGAGAGACAGGGAGGGAGGAAGAAAGGAAGGAAACAGGAGAGAGGGAGGAAAGGAAGGAAGGAAAGAAAGAAGAATGAAAGGGAGAGAGAGGGAGGAAGGAAGAAGGGAGGAGGAAGAAAGGGGGAGGGAGAGAGGGAGGAAAGGAAGGAAGGAAGGAAGGAGAGGAAAGGAAGGGTGGGAGGGAGGGAACTGAACTGTGAGGGGCAGAAGACTGGAGGACCAAAAAAGGCGACCCAGCCCGGCTACCTATGTGCCGTCTTGTCATCTCCACCGTGGCGTTCCGGTTGACGTTGGAGAGCAGCCCTAGGCAGAATCGCTCCGAGTTGGAGGGGTCCGTGAAGCCGTCGACGGTCAGCGAAGGCTGCGATGCGTGGAACGTTTCGCCCACTCTCTGGTTGAGTTCGTAATATGCTATCGAACACCAAAAGGCCGGCTCCGAATAGGTGACCGGCTGCAAGTCTGGCAGGGGGAGAGAAATCGTTCTTCAAAATAATTCTCAGCAGCCACGATTGGGCAACACTCTGGCAAGCCTGGTTCTTGACACCGAACTGGCATGGTCCTTGTTGGCAACGAAAGCACCCTCAAAGCACCCTCTGTCTGCACGGGGGTCCAGGGACTTCCTCCGCTTACTCTAAAAATTAAACCTGTTGCCTTTTCAAGGGGTAAAATAAAAATATAATACCTTTTATTTTTAAAGGTATGATTACTCTAACTCAGGGCTCCTCAAACTTGGCCCTTTGATGACGGGTGGACTTCAACTCCCAGAATTCCTCAGCCAGGCACGTGTGCCTGGCTGAGGAATTCTGGGAGTTGAAGTCCACCAGTCATCAAAAGGCCAAGCTGGAAGACCCCTGGTCTGGCTCCAAGCCCGCAGTTGCATCAAAATGGCCGACTGAGGAATTCTGGGAGTTGAAGTCCACCAGTCATCAAAGGGCCGAATTTGAAGGCCCCTGGTCTGGATCTAAGCCCACCGTGTCATCAAAATGGCCGACTGAGGAATTCTGGGAGTCGAAGTCCACCCGTCATCAAAGGGCCAAGCTGGAAGACCCCTGGTCTAGATCCAAGCCCGCAGTTGCATCAAAATGGCCGACTGAGGAATTCTGGGAGTTGAAGTCCAGAAGTCATAAAAGGGCCAAGCTGGAAGACCCCTGTTTTAAACCCTACTCTCTCTGTGGCACAAATATTTCAGAAACCAGCTGGAGAATTCCTTCATTTTCCACGGATCATTCATTGCTCTTTCCCATGGTCCAGAAATCTCAGCAAGGTTCACCTCAGCCAAATGACCAACCATGCATATGATGAAAGTCTTTATTACATGACAGGTCATAATTGTGTTTCATTATTGTTATATATGGCAATCTATCTCTGCATTTAGAATAATAAAATGGGCCGAGAAAGGGCAAAAGGAGAACATTTCGGTCCAATGGAGGCATCTGCAAACCCAAGAAAGGGCTCATAGCCTTTATTCCTTCAATGAAGTAATAATCCACCAGGTCTGCTCCACTCCTCAACTATTTTTTACATCAGGAAATGCTATATATAACACAGGGCTCTTCCAACTGGGCCCTTTGATGACTGTGGACTTCAGCTCCCAGAATTCCTCAGCCAGGCACGCTGAGGAATTCTGGGAGTTGAAGTCCACCAGTCATCAAAGGGCCGAGTTTGAAGACCCCTGGTCTGGATCCAAGCCCGCAGTTTCATCAAAATGGCCGACTGAGGAATTCTGGGAGTTGAAGTCCACCAGTCATCAAAGGGCCAAGCTGGAAGACCCCTGGTCTGGATCCAAGCCCGCAGTTTAATCAAAATGGCCGACTGAGGAATTCTGGGAGTTGAAGTCCACCAGTCATAAATGGGCCACGTTGAAGACCCCTGCTCTATTTCATCTCGCAATCTGAACGTCTTAATTTCAGCAAAGGCTCCTGCCATCTCTTCCTTTTATTGGCAAGGGGAGAAATGAGTTGAGCACACACCCTTTGCCTGGAAGTTCATTTTCCCCAGCCTGCCTGGGAATTAAAATCCACAAAGTCTTAAAAGTGGTCCAGGCTGGACACCCCTGTCCTACATCACAGGGCAGGGTTGTTGTTGTTTTTTGGTTTTTTGTTTAAACCTGAAACGTATAGCAGGCAGAAGTGCCAACTCATGCAATTTCTGCATTTCTCTCTCTCTCTCTCTCTCTCTCTCTTAAGTTTTATTCATTTTCTAGTTTTACATTGAAATATTTAAAAAGCAACGTGGCGGCTGAGCTAATCGATAACTCGATAAGCTACCAATCTCTTTAGCGCAAGTCTCAAACTGTTAACATTAGTTTCCTCTCTTTTCCCCTTAGTGTTTACTGTCTCATGCTTAAACTGGTACAATTCTTACGGCGTCAATTCAATAAAAATAACTTTCTCACAGTTTCTGCCTTCCTATTTATTTCTCCATGCAAAAGAGGTCTATCCGAGGCACCTGCTGGAAGGCTTCCCTGCTTACCTAGGCTGTGATTGACAGGAGAGAGAGTACTGGGAGACAGCTCTGCCGGCGATCCTGGGGAAACAATCAAGAATGTGATTATATTTTTTTTTTCTCCTGCACACACAAACACACACACACACACAAATACAAACACGCAAATCATTTAGAAAAAAATCCAGATGCTGTGTTTTTTTCCCCACAAGCTACCATCACCTTTGGACACAGTAATCAAGAGAGAATCTGGAATCACTTTTGTTCCTTCCACTCGGTGAAATGTCGAAAATATTGGAAAATGTTTGGATGAAGGATTGGGGGGGGGGGACTTTGATTGCCGTGACAGAATCTTAGTTCTAGTTAAGTAGCTTAAAATTGATCTTACTCCTGTTAGCAATAACATAAGCAGCGTTCCAGTATCTCAGGGGCTGCCCCAAAGAAGAGGGAGTCAAGCTATTCTCCAAAGCGCCTGAAGGCAGGACAAGAAGCAACGGAGGGAAACTAATCAAGGAGAGAAGGAACGTGGAACTAAGGAGGGAGGGAGGGAGGGAGGGAGGGAGGGAGGGAGGAAGGAAGGAAGGAAGGAAGGAAGGAAGGAAGGAAGGAAGGAAGGAAGGAAGGAAGGAAGGAAGGAAGGGCAACGGATGGAAACTCATCAAGGAGAGAAACAACCTAGAACTTAGGAGAAACTTCCTGACAGTGAGAACAATTAACCTGTGGAACAACTGCCTCCAGAAGTGGTGAATGCTCCAACACCGGAAGTCTTTAAGAAGAGACTGGACAGCCATTTGTCCGAAATGGTATAGGGTTTCCTGCCTGAGCAGGGGGTTGGACTAGATGACCTGCAAGGTCCCTTCCAACTTTATTGTTGTTGTTGTTATTATTACAAAAATCAAGGTTAGGAGATCAGGATAGGTGATAGATATTAACCTACTGAAAATGGTGTTTAAGCAACCCTTTGCCATTTTAGATAATAATAACAACAACAACAACAAAACTACAACATTGACAAATTCGCTATTAGTCAACTGCAAAAGGCGGCCTTACTAGGAACTGCTTCCATCCTACGACGATACCTGTAATACCATCAAACATCCACATCTGCCTATCCCAGGTCCTGGGTAAGGACTCGATAGGTAGACAAAATGCCAAATCCAGTCTGAACATCTGGCTGACTGTGCGATGATCCATCATCATCTTCTTCTTCTTCTTCTTCTTCTTCTTCTTCTTCTTCTTCTTCTTCTCCTCCTCCTCCTCCTCCTCCTCCTCCTCCTCCTCCTCCTCCTCCTCCTCCTCCTCCTCCTCCTCCTCCTCCTCTAGTGTTGGAGCATTCTTATCCCCCACAGAACCAATCTCTTTAGCATTGCATCTTTTCTACAGGATGCAGATCACCAGAATCAACTGGAGATGGGTGGCCAATAAGTTTCAACGAACAAATAAACCAACGTACCCTTAAAGCTTAACAGTGATACAACCCAAGAACATTTTTTTTTTTTTTTGGTCACAGAGACACACGCAAACCTAACCAAAAAAATGGGCAAAAGGCTTTGAGCACCCCATAAAAACGAAGTCATTTTTTACCTGTATCCATGCTTTGGTTCAACTGCTGGTCACTTGTTTCCCCATCTTCGCTGATGTAGCCAGGAGGTGGTGTTTCTACCAAGAGAAAAAAAAAATAGAACCCTTTTAAAATAAAATCTTCACCCAATAACCAAGGAGACTGGATGTTTTATCAATAAACAAGGAATAGACAAAATATTTAGGAATCAAACTATCTAAAACCCGCCTCTGGGCAGAAATTGCGCTGTCACAATTAGACAGCCCCCGAAAAAACCCCCACATAAAACAAAACAAACCCAGTTAATATCAGGTTCGGGGGGGGGGGAATCAGACAGTCACTTGCACTTCCCTTCTTTCTCCTTACCCCAATTCTACAAGCCACAGGTTGCAATCTTTTAAAATTCTTGTTTTATTAAGTTTTATAAAGGGTAGGGAAGGGATAAGGTCGGTATGGATATTGGATGGGGTTAGGGAATGGTGTTGGGATAAGGGTAGGGATAGATACAGTAGTGGGGTTACCCCCAACAAAAATTCAACGCTTTAGCAAGCAGACTATCGTCCGGGTACAAATATTAAATGACAGTAGTTAATATACTAAACATAATCAGTAATAATAATAATAATAATAAAGTTGGAAGGGACCTTGGAGGTCATCTAGTCCAACCCCCTGCTCAGGCAGGAAACCCTATACCATTTTGGACAAATGGCTGTCCAGTCTCTTCTTAAAAACTTCCAGTGTTGGAGCATTCACCGCTTCTGGAGGCAGGTCGTTCCACTGGTTAATTGTTCTAACCGTCAGGAAGTTTCTCCTTAGTTCTAGGTTGCTTCTCTACTTGATTAGTTTCCATCCTTTGCTTCTTGTCCTGCCTTCAGGGTCTTTGGAGAGTAGCTTGACTCCCTCTTCTTTGGGGCAGCCCCTGAGATACTGGGACGCTGCTATCCTGTCCCCCCTCGTCCTTCTCTTCATTAAACTGGACATCCCCAATTCCAGCAACAGTTCCTTGTATGTTTTAGCCTCCAGTCCCCTAATCATCTTTGTTGCTCTTCTCTGCACTCTTTCTAGAGTCTCAACATCTTTTTTACATCGCGGTGACCAAAACTGGATGCAGTATTCCAAGTGTGGCGTTACCAAGGTGTTGTAAAGTAGTATTAATACTTCACGTGATCTTGATTCTATCCCTCTGTTAATGCAGCCCAGCACTGTGTTGGCCTTTTTGGCAGCTGCAGTACACGGCTGGCTCCTATTTAAGGGATCGTCCACTAGGACTCCGAGGTCCCCCTCACAGTTACTACTACTGAACAAGGTACCCGCTATACTATACCTGTACATTTGGTTTTTCTTGCCTACATGTAATAGTAATAGTAACAATAATCATAAAAGTAAAGCTTAGTCAATAAATATCATTCATCCTGTTAAATTTCACCATCCTTTCCCGCTCTATCGTGTTGCTAACCATTGATAAAAAAATTTCCCACGTTTTGAAATAAACTGCATCTTCTTTCTCTTTAATCTCTAAAGTCAGTCTATCCATTTCTGCACATTCTAGGATTTTCGTGATTGCAATCCGGTCAGGTGGCAGGTTTTCATTTTTCCAAAATTGGGCGAATACTATTCTCGCAGCTGTCAATACACGTAATCTTAAATATTCATTCAGGTTGCAATCTTTACACAGCGTAGCCCTGTTCAGACATTGAAGAGTTGATACTCTACATTTGAAGACTGCGGAGTAAGTTTTTGAATTTGGGGAAGGGATGGGAATAGAGAAGGAGGGGTAGCTCTGCACATCCTGGTCCCAGATTGCCTACAGATAGGCATGTAAGTACATAGATCTTTTTGTATCCCCCCCTCATTAAATCAGGAAAGTCCTGACCAATGTAGGGTTTGTAACCCTTGGGAGGTTTCTACTCCTAATCAAGCCAACACAAGAAAAAGCTCAGGGTGGACCATCCAATTCTGCAAGAAAATGCCCTAAGGAAGAAGGGGAGCTGACTTTCCTATCTTCAATGACCCTACTGTAAGCAAGCTTGTGAATGCAAAGAGATCTAAATAAATGAAATATTCATGCTGCTGGTTCACTCCCAAGGAAAGTTAGATAACAGCTAGTTCAGGGGTCTTCAAACTTGGCCCTTTTAGGACTGGTGGACTTCAACTCCCAGAATGCCTCAGCCAGCATGCCTGGGTTTCCTGCCTGAGCAGGGGGTTGGACTAGATGGCCTCCAAGGTCCCTTCCAACATTATTATTATTATTAATTATTATTATTATGGATCATCGCACAGTCAGCCAGATGTTCAGACTGGATTTGGCATTTTGTCTACCTATCGAGTCCTTACCCAGGACCTGGGATAGGCAGATGTGGATGTATGATGGTATTACAGATATCGTCGCAGGATGGAAGCAGTTCCTAGTAAGGCCGCCTTTTGCAATTGACTAATAGCGAATTTGTCAATGCCAATGGTGTTCAAGTGGTGCTCCAGTTGTTTTGGGATTGCACCCAAGGCGCCTATGAATATTGGTACTACCCTTGCTTGCTTTTGCCACAGTCTTTCTATTTCTATTTGTAGGTCTTTGTATTTTGTTATCTTCTCCAGTTCTTTCTCTTCTATTCTGCTATCTCCAGGCACTGCCACGTCCACTATCCAGACTTTTTTGTCTTTCTTATCGACAATTGTTAAGTCTGGGGTGTTATGTTGCAGGTGCTTGTCTGTTTGAATTCTGAAGTCCCAGAGCAGTTTAATTTTATCATTTTCTATGACTTTCTCTATTTTATGATCCCACCAGTTTTGCTTACAGGCAAATGATATTTTTTGCAGATCTTCCAATGCACCATTGTTGCTACTTTGTCATGCCGCTGCTTGTAGTCAGTCTGTGTAATCTTCTTGCAATTATTATTATTATTATAAGTCATAAAAAGGCCACGTTGGAAGACCCCTGAGCTAGTTTAACACACAATCCCACGTGCGGCTAGAGATGCCTGGAAGAGAGTCCCCTGCCCAGCAAAGGCTAATGTATACAGAGCCCAGGGACAATGAAAGGTCCCTGGATTTGATGTGTTCTTTCTGAAAGAAAGGCAAATTCAAGTGTATTCAATTACACCTAATGCACAAAAGTTAGTTTTCGTAGCCTGTATGCACCCCAGCTCTCAGAACACACTCTATCATTCACAAATAAAACTAGAAGCACAACCCACAGCATCAAATGACAGTGGAGAAACACAGCTAGTGTGTTTGAAAAGGTAACAGAACAACAAGAGTTGGAAGGGACCTTGGAAGGTCTTCTAGACCCACCCCCTGCTCAAGCATATATTGGTTAAACATCTAAGTCAGGGGTCTTCAAACTTGGCCCTTTTATGACTTGGGGACTTCAACTCCCAGAATTCCTCAGCCAGCTTTGCTGGCTGAGGAATTCTGGGAGTTGAAGTCCACAAGTCATAAAAGGGCCAAGTTTGAAGACCCCTGATTTATGATGTCAAAATCCATTATGGCTAAGCAGACTGGCTATCAGTGCTGTTAAAAGATCTCCTCTTTTTTACTTTTCTTCCTGAAAAAGTATACTGGCAGAAGATTCCGCGGGTGGCTGAGAAACCTGTAATTGGACCCAGAGCACGCCAACCTGTATAAAGAAATATCCCCGTGCTAGCAAGCCATGCTAGGCTCCCCATACCATTATTTTATTTTGGCACGTCCCAAAGGTGCTTTTTTCCCCATTGGACTTTCTCGATTGTCTTTGAAGACCTTTCGCTTCTTCAGCTCTAACTGGATGGTGGGGAATGGAGGTCAGAACTGAAGAAGCTTCGGGGAGGAGAAGCGAAAGGTCTTCAAAAAACACACAAGAAAGTCCAGTTGCCTCCTGGAAAAAGCAGCTTTGGGACAACCAGGAGCTGGACGATGGAGAACCTCCATAGATATTTTGGCATGAGACTGACTTCAAGTTTCATTCCATTTCGCCTTGACATGAATACCTGGTATGTAATTGCTTTGGGGTTCGATTCCTGCGGGAAAGTTAGTGTTTTCAGGAATGGAATGAGTATAGTCATCCAGAGGTGGGAGTTCCGTCAGAATCTCGGTGTGTCGTGGCACCAGAACAGGAGGCAAAACTAGGAAAAGAAAGAAAACATCCCGAAAACATTAAGCACAATTTCACCACGCTTAAATACATAATGATGCAAAGACTCCTCTATAAAACATATTGCAGACTCAAATGACGTGGTTTGAATGCAAAGCACCGATCATTCCGTTTTAGGCCTATTCAAAATTAAAGCCAAATTTCAAACATTTCGGCTTATTGGAAAGATCAATCGCAAGAGAAATATTTTTGGGTGTGGAAAAGATGGGCAAATTTTATACAGCATAAATATGAGATTAAAAAGTATTATTTAGCTTTTGAATAATTTATGTTTAAGGTAACAATTAGAACTGTTGTTTTGTTTTGTTTTTATATATTGGAGTTAAAGTATTTAACATTTTGTTCTTTGAATGTATTTACAACTGTTTGATGTTTATTTAAGTTGTAAGTTTTTTTCTAGTTTTTATTAACCCTGTATTCAGCTCTGGGAAGGAGGGGGGAGGGTGATGGGGGGGTTGGGGGGAGGTGGGAGAGAGGGATTATTTTATTGTAAAACTGTAAAAATTTTCAATAAAAAAAATAAATTAAAGCCAAATTTCGGCCACAGGCATGTTTCCAGGTAAGCGTAGAGAAAATCACCCCAATCAGCATAAAAATGCTGATTTAAGAAACTTGGGAGGGAGGGAGAGAGAAAGAGAGACTTAATATATATCACATCCAAATATCCACAGTGAATGTGATTACTGGGGTCTGTAAACGTAGCCATAGAGTCTCCAAGCGTATTTATTAAAAAGGTTATCGTCCTTATTTCACGGGTTCTTCTCCCAAGCAGGAATTTGTCTTCTTTTTCCCACGGGCAAAGGGTGGAAATCTAAGGAATGGGAAGCAAGGACTGGACCAAGAGAATGAAGTTATCGTGAAGACTAAGATCCAAATGGGATCTCTTTCATTCTTCTTTAACCATTTCACAGTAAAGGAGAAGGATCCAGGTGCAGAAGTCATTAAGTCACCTTAAAGCATTTATTTCTCAGCTCATGTATCCCCCAAAGGTGCTTTTTCAAAAGGCAACTGGACTTTTGTTTTTCCTTGAAGATGTTTCGCTTCTCATCTAAGAAGCTTCTTCAGTTCTGGGAACTGAAGTTCTTCAGCTCATCCAAGAAGCTTCTTCGGTTCAAGCTTCTTGAATTAGAATGGAATGGAATGGAATGGAATGGAATGGAATGGAATAGAATAGAATAGAACAGAACAGAATAGAATACATATTGTAATATAGAATAGAATAGAATAGAATAGAAAATATGGAATAGAATAGAAAATATGGAATGGAATAGAAAATGGAATGGAAAGGAATAGAATAGAATAGAATAGAATAGAATAGAATAGAATAGAATAGAATAGAATAGAATAGAATAGAATAGAATAGAATAGAATAGAATAGAATAGAATAGAATAGAATACATATTGGAATATGGAATAGAATAGAAAATATGGAATAGAATAGAATATGGAATGGAATAGAATAGAATAGAATAGAATACATATTGGAATATAGAATAGAATAGAAAATATGGAATAGAATAGAATATGGAATGGAATAGAATAGAATAGAAAATAGTAGAGTAGAATATAGAATAAAAAACAGAATAGAACAGAAAATCAATCAATCAGAATAGAGCTAGAAGGGACCCTGGAGGTCTTGTAGTCCAGCCCCCCGCTTAAGCAGGAGAATCTACACCATCTCAGACAGGTGACTGTCCAGTCTCTTCTTAAAAACCTCCAGGGATGGAGCGCCCACGATTTCTGAAGGCAATTTCTCTTCCCCTGGTTAATTGTCCTCCTTGTCAGGAAGTTTCACCTTAGTTCCAGGTTGCTTCTCTCCTTGATGAGTTTCCATCCGTTGCTTCTTGTCCTGCCTTCAGGCGCCTTGGAAAATAAAACTGAAATAAGTTCAAAGTCCAGCTGATTTTTGAAAAAGCACCTTTGGGACGACCATGGTCCTGGATGACTGAGAATCTCCATAGACTCTCAGCTCAAGAAGCAACGGATGGAAACTGACCAAAGAGAGAAGCAACCTGGAATTAAGGAGAAACCTCCTGACAGTGAGGACAATTAGCCAGTGGAACAGCTGGCCTCCAGAAATCGTAGGCATTCCATCACTGGAGATTTTTAAGAAGAGATAGGACAGGCACTTGTCTGAAATGGTATAGGTTCTCCTGCTTAAGCAAGGGGCTGGACTAGAAGACCTCCAAGGTCCCTTCCAGTTCTATTCTATTCTACTATTCTCATATAGTAGATCTGAGAATAAATTAGTTCTATCAAGTCTCAGTTCCTCGGACCAATGACAAGGTAACTATTAAGCAATAACCTGCCCTCACAAACACTTTTTTAATCCAGCTGGACAAGCTATCTTTCTTTTGGAAATTACAGGGGATGGGGAAAAACAAGCCATTGAGTGGCTGCTCCAGATTGTGGTGGGATCCCTTCCCTGGAACCCCCAAAGAACGGTGAACAAACTTATCATTCAGATGTCTCTATATCAGGGGTCTTCAAACTTGGCCCTTTGATGACCTGTGGACTTCACTTCCCAGAATCCCTCAGTAAGGCACGTTGGCTGAGGAATTCTGGGAGTTGAAGTCCATTGCTCTTAAAGTCTGTATCAGGGGTCTTCAAACTTGGCCCTTTGATGACTGCTGGATTTCAACTCCCAAAATCCCTCAGCCAGGCATGCTGGCTGAGAAGTCCACCAGTCATAAAAGGGCCAAGTTTGAAGAGCCCCTGGTCTGGATCCAAGCCTGCTGTTTCATCAAAATGGCTGACTGAGGAATCCTGGGAGTTGAAGTCCATCAGTCATAAAAGGGCCGAGTTTGAAGGCCCCTGGTCTGTTTCCAAGCCTGCCGTTTCATCAAAATGGCCGACTGAGGAATTCTGGGAGTTGAAGTCCACCAGTCATCAAAGGGCCAAGTTTGAAGACCCCTGGTCTAGATTAAAAATTCTTTTGAGTCCCTTGAGCAGAAAGGAGAGAGAATTGAGAAGTGCTGCCCTTTTAATCGAGGTGAACATTTGCAACACTTTGCACATCTCCAGGTGACGCCAAGGAAGTGCCCAACACATGCACGCAATACGACAAGCCGTGCTTTTCAATATTATTAAAATTAAAACGTTGGGAGCGACTCCCAGCCAAAACCCTTGGCAATAACGCAGGTGCAACTTTCTACACCCCGAGCGTTACTTCGCAGGTTTAGCTAAGGCAGTGGTTCTCAACCTTTTTAATGCCGCGACCCCCAACCGGTCGTAAGCCGAGGACTACTCAACCGGTCGTAAGTCGAGGACTACTCAACTGGTGCAGCACCGTTTGCAGAATGGGACTTTTGGCAGGCTCAGCAGGGCAGAGACAGCCTGGACAATTCCTATTGGCTTTTGAAAGCCAATAGAATTAGACGCTATTCAAGAGAGTCTATTCTATTGGCTTTCAAAAGCCAATAGAATAAAAGGGAGTAGCACTGCTAAGGAAAAGGGGGAAAAAATGGCGGACTGCGTTGTTTGGCGACCCCCGTGAAATGGTCGTTCGACCCCAAATGGGGTCCCCACCCACAGGTTGAGAACCGCTGAGCTAAGGGGAAGCCTGGCCTTAAGACAACCCCGTCAGGTCAGCTGTGCTGGCCATCTTCCTACCTGGAGTCTCCACTCTCTGGTAATGGTAGGGATTGACACACACTTCATCCTTTTTAAGATTAAAAGCATATTCACAGTTTTCAATGGCCTTAAGTTCGTGGTGACTGTGGAGGTCAGGCCAGCGCCACAAGCGGCAGTAAATGACGTGCGGCAACCCTTTGCGGTGGGACACCTGGAGGCGGCCATCAAGAGACCTAGAGAGAGGGGGGGGGAGGAGAGAGAGAGAGAGGAGAAAAACATTCCAGAATGTTCTGAGTTGTTGACTTGCAGCACGTTTAAAGGTGACCTATTCAGAACTACGGGGCTTAAGAGCCCAGTCTTGCATCCTATCCAAAAAAGAATAACGCAACAGACGCTTAATAGCCTTCAATGGGATGGGGTTTTGTTTTGCTTTGTTTTGTTTTATGCAATAAGAGGTTTAGTGCAAACACTGGCCCTTGAATCCAAGAATCTGTGTGTGACATTAATGGCTGGACAATAAATAAGCCTGATGATCAGCAACACTTACAACTAGGCTAAAAAAAAGAAAATTATGGCTGTTAAGACTGCGCACAAAATTACAGCAGCCAAAGGAATTCACATTGCATTGAAAAAAAAAAAAACAGGATTTCTCCAGCTGAGCTACTTTTTAAGACCTGTAGACTTCAACTCCCACGGCTGGCTGGGGAATTCTGGGAGATGAAGTCCACAGGTCTTAAAAGTGGTTAAGGGTGAGAAACGCGGGCACAGAACACTGCAGCTTCCACCGGACCTGCTTGTCTGAATCGGTGCGCCAGCGCTGCAATCCCTTGCTCCTACCAGTTGAACAGTTTTGCTAGTTTTAAGATAAAAGGCTGCCTGGGCCTGCACAAATGCGGATGGATTTATGACTTCATGGGATGGGAAACACAAAAAAATCTCAGCACACAATGCAAATAGGGTGACATGGGGTGTGTGGGGGGGGAGTGGACGGTGTCAAAAGCCAGAGAAGCTGTTTCCTTGTCTCTGAGTGCACATACCAAATTCTTTTCTTTTCTTTAAAAAAAAAAAACCATAAAAACAAATATATAGGGTTTTTTTTAATCAATAAAATGAGTGAACTCCGGGATATAAAATAGCCTTTTTTTATGACTGAGCTTTCGTCAACTTACAGTTCACGTCATCAGAGTAAGGGCTGAAGTTTTTAAGAAGAGACTGGACGGCCATTTGTCTGAAATGGTACAGAGTTTCCTGCCTAAGCAGGGGGTTGGACTAGATGACCCCCAAGGTCCCTTCCGGAAGTCTTTAAGAAGAGACTGGACGGCCCTTTGTCTGAAATGGTACAGAGTTTCCTGCCAGAGCAGGGGGTTGGACCAGATGACCTCCAAGGTCCCTTCCAACTTTATTATTATTATTATTATTATTATTATTATTATGGATCATCGCAGAGTCAGCCAGATGTTCAGACTGGATTTGGCATTTTGTCTACCTATCGAGTCCTTACCCAGGACTGGGATAGGCAGATGTGGATGTTTGATGGTATTACAGATATCGTCGCAGGATGGAAGCAGTTCCTAGTAAGGCCGCCTTTTGCAATTGACTAATAGCAAATTTGTCAATGCCGATGATGGTGTTCAAGTGGTGCTCCAGTTGTTTTGGGATTGCACCCAAGGAGCCTATGACTATTGGTACTACCATTGCTTGCTTTTGCCACAGTCTTTCTATTTCTATTTGTAGGTCTTTGTATTTTGTTATCTTCTCCAGTTCTTTCTCGTCTATTCTGCTGTCTCCAGGCACTGCCACGTCCACTATCCAGACTTTTTTGTCGTTCTTATCGACAATTGTTAAGTCTGGGGTGTTATGTTGCAAGTGCTTGTCTGTTTGAATTCTGAAGTCCCAGAGCAGTTTAATTTTATCATTTTCTATGACTTTCTCTATTTTATGATCCCACCAGTTTTTGCTTACAGGCAAATGATATTTTTTGCAGATCTTCCAATGCCCCATTGTTGCTACTTTGTCATGCCGCTGCTTGTAGTCAGTCTGTGCAATCTTCTTGCAACAGCTTACCAGGTGGTCCACTGTTTCTTCAGCTTCTTTGCATAGGCGGCACTTACTGTCTGTTGTTTATTATTATTATTATTATTATTATTATTATTATTATTATTATTATTATTATTAGATTGGAAGAGCCTACATACAACACTTGTGTTAAAACGGTCACACAAGCGTTGTATGTAGGCTCTTCCAATCTTCAGCCCTTACTCTGAGGATGTCAACAGTTAAGTTGACGAAAGCTCAGTCACAAAAAAAGGCTATTTTATATCCCGGAGTTAAAAATCATGTTACTGATTTTTAAAAATGTTTACACCAGGGATTCAAGTATTTGGAATAATCAAGCATTTTTAAAGACACACTTGGCCACCTAGCAAACGATGTAAAAATGTCCCTAGGTTGTTAAATGAAGAAAAACAGATTATGAAGTCACACATGCCCCTCCCAGATTTTCCCACAGCACTAGGAGGGAGAGAGCTTATTGTCGGTTGACACACAACTGAGAACACAACGTTGGTGTTTCAATGCTCTGCTGCTAGGAAGCAGGGCAGCTGGGAAAAGACCCCTGGAAAGTCCGGACCCACCCGCAAGATGTCTAAGAATGAGACACAGGGCAAAATATTCACCTGGTTTGTTCAGAGAAGCTGTATAGGCCTGTTGTATCCCACTGATCTATCGTATTTGGTGTACTCAGTCCCCAAATTTCAGAGCAAGTGCTGTGCATAAATTGAAGAAACAAAAAAACAAAAAAAGTTGACGTGAATATGGAAGCATGGTTATTCAAACTACCATGATGTAAAAAACATGGGAGAAATGTACAGAAAACTTCCTTTCGCATAGAAAATACTGGCATTTGATTCTTTCTCTTTCTTTTTTTTAAATACCGGTTCTCAAAAGAACGTATTTTCTATAGGAAGGAGGCCCATAAAATGGAACAAATGTGATTTAAGGTAAAATGATGCTTTCGAAACGGTGAGCACGTTGGCGGGATTTTATGCAATTTGCATTATTTGCAATATAAACCTTAAAACAGGCAAAACCTCCTCAATCTGGCAGTACACAACGGGGTCTTTTGCAAAAAGTAGGAAAATGTTTTTGCAAAAAAAAAAAAAAGTAAAAATAAATCAGTCAGTAAAGTATTTAAGAGTTCAACCAATGGTTAAAGCAGGAGTCAGGAATCGCCCAAACCCATTTGTTAATAGCTGGAAATGTGCAATTTTCCATTACTTTGGCTGAATTGTCATCCTTCTGAGCCCGCCACCATCACACACACACACACACACACACACACACACACACACACACACACACACACCCATTTGCCTTTAATGCCATATGAAAGGATACATCCAATGCTTGCTGTTAATAAGTATGCAAATACAAGGTGAAGTCCAACAGAAGGCAAGCAATTCAAATTAAATTAAAGGGGGGGAACCACTCTGATATTAAAGGTTTTCCTTTCTTTTATTTATTTTGTTTATTTATATCCCGGCTTTCATTATTTTTAACAAATAGTTCAAGGCGGGGAACATACCCAACACACTCCCTCCTCCTGTTTTCCCCACAACGACAACCCTGTGAGGTGGGTTGGGCTGAGATAGTGTGACTGGCCCAAAGTCACCCAGCCGGCTTTCATGGCTAAGAAGAGACTTGAATTCACACTCTCCTGCTTTCTAGGAGGTATTTATTTATTTATTTATTTATTTATTTATTTATTTATTTATTTATTTATGAGACTTATATACCGCTTTAAGTGCAAGCACTCTCTAAGCGGTGTACACCAGTAAGCAATGTATATATATATTACATTGCCCCCAACAATCTGGGTCCTCATTTTACCTACCCCGGAAGGATGGAAGGCTGAGTCAACCTTGAGCCGGTGAGATTTGAACCGCTGACCTGCTGAACACAGTCAGCTAAAGTGGCCTGCAGTAGTGCACTCTGACTGCTGCGCCACCTCGGCCCATATAGTTTCTCCTGCTCAAGCAGGGGGCTGGACTAGAAGACCTCTAAGGTCCCTTCCAGCTCTATTCTACTCTATTCTATTCTATTCTATATTTTCTTTTTTCTTTTCTATTCTATTCTATTCTATATTTTCTTTTTTCTATTCTATTATATTCCACATTTTCTCTATTCTATTCTATTCTGTTCTGTTCCATATTTTCTTTATTCTATTCTATTCTGTTCTGTTCCATATTTTCTTTATTCTATTCTATTCTGTTCTATATTTTCTTTTTTCTATTCTATTCTATATTTTCTTTATTCTATTCTATTCCACATTTTCTCTATTCGGTTCTGTTCTATTTCATATTTTCTTTATTCTATTTCATATTTTCTTTATTCTATTTTATTCTATTCCATATTTTCTCTATTCTATTCTATTCCATATTTTCTATTCCATTCTATTCATATTCTATTCTATTCCATATTTTCTTTTTTCTATTCTATTTTGTTCTATATTCTTTTTTCTATTCTATTCTAATCTATTCTATTCCATATTTTCTCTATTCTATTCTATTCTACATTTTCTTTTTTCTATTCTATTCTATTTCTATTCTATCCTGGTGCCTTAACCAAACTGGCTTTCCTCCATCTCTGCAAGAGAACTGTCATTTCACAGGAATCTCAGCAGCCAACACTAAAAATCTGAAAGCAGTTATCACCGCAAACCTTATTTACACGAAAGTTATTTCGTCTGCTTTTGTATTTTTCAGAAAGCGGTCCGTGTGCTTTGCTTTTCACGAACCAGAAGGAGAAACGCTACTTAAGACCTAATCAATTGGGTACAATAAATAAGCAGCCAGAGTTCACCTTACTAATTTCTCCCCAAGAGGGAGAATTATTGCTCAAAACTGCCAGTACTTACCAAAAGACAATCCAATTAAAGTTGAAACTGTGTCCGCCTTGCAGGCTGGCGATAATATTCTGGATAGTGAAGTATTGGAAGTCAATTCGGGGTAGACCGTTTACGTGTTTGGTGGGATTAACATGGACCTTGAGAAAAACTGCCCAAGATAGCAAGGGGTCTGAAAAAACGCCACTACATTTTTCCCGGATTTTCAGCAACCACGGAAGACCATGACTATGTATCTTCATAGGTCTAAAGCATTTTTGATATACCTTTTTCTGGTTCCGTCAGCCCAACAAGGCCAAAGCTAATTATTTGTCGGTCTCAAGACATGAAATGTATATAGTATGTTTAGGTGTGTGTTATGTACGTGTTTCACTTTGAGAGGCACTAACTAACAAAATGAAATTCAATGGTGAAAAAAGCAAGGTTCTACATTTAGGCAAGAAAAACCAAATGCACAAGTACAGCATAGGTGGCACCATGCTCAATAGTAGTAACTGTGAGAGGGACCTCGGAGTCCTAGTGGACAATCACCTAAATAGGAGCCAGCCGTGTGCTGCAGCTGCCAAAAAGGCCAACACAGTGCTAGGCTGCATTAACAGAGGGATAGAATCAAGATCACATGAAGTATTAATACCACTCTACAATGCCTTGGTAAGGCCACACTTGGAATCCTGCATCCAGTTTTGGTCACCACGATGTAAAAAAGATGCTGAGACTCTAGAAAATGTGCAGAGAAGAGCAACAAAGATGATTAGGGGACTGGAGGCTAAAACATGTAAGGAACGGTTGCTAGAATTGGGTATGTCTAGTTTAACGAAGAGAAGGACAAGGGGGGACAGGATAGCAGTATTCCAATATCTCAGGGGCTGCCATAAAGAAGAGGGAGTCAAGCTATTCTCCAAAGCCCCTGAAGGCAGGACAAGAAGCAACGGATGGAAACTCATCAAGGAGAGAAGCAACCTAGAACTAAGGAGAAACTTCCTGACAGTCAGAACAATTAACCAGTGGAACAGTCTGCCTCCAGAAGCTGTGAATGCTCCAATATTGGAAGTCTTTAAGAAGAGACTGGACAGCCATTTGTCTGAAATGGTATTATAGGGTTTCCTGCCTGAGCAGGGGGTTGGACTAGATGACCTCCAAGGTCCCTTCCAACTTTACTACTATTACTATACAGAGCGGGGAACAAAATTTCATTTTTAATGTGCGCCGTTGTGCCCACAATAAAAAAAAATGGGTTATCTTATCTTATGTAACTCTCTGAAACAACACTCTATCATACCTTAAAACTCAGAATGGGGATACCTGAGTCTCCTTAAAAATCATTTGTTATCTAGATGCAAATTCTTTCTTTTCTATTCCTAGCCAGCACCAATTCTAAAATGTTAAATAAATGCAGAAGATTCTGGATGCAAGAAGCTCAGCTAACAACTGCTCGTCTTCACAAATCTTTTATTTCCAATGGTAATGCTTTTTTCCCAAGTCCCCCCCCCCCCGAGACAAGAGCATCGCCATATATTATGAATTAAGGCGACCATTACCTTTTTTTCTTGTTGGTAGCCCTTTCATATGTTTTGCTGTTATCTCTGCAGTTGAGGATCAGTGCAGTCATAAAAAAATTAATCACAACCTAGGGATCAGTACATCTTTCCTCAGATGAATCTCATCTCTTTGATGGTATGTCTGATCAAATGCCAGTCGAAATGTGCATTAAAGTTAAATTATGAACCGAGATCAGGGGATGACGAAAAGAAATGTATGCATTCATGCGAAAGCAGGATCCAGCAGTTATTATACATAATTATCATGGTTGTATTAACGGGCCTAAATTTCTAGAGTCTCAACATCTTTTTTGCATCCAGTTTTGGTCACCACGATGTAAAAAAGATGTTGAGACTTTAGAAAGAGTGCAGAGAAGAGCAACAAAGATGATCAGGGGACTGGAGGCTAAAACATATAAGGATCAGTTGCTGGAATTGGGTATGTCTAGTTTCATAAAGAGAAGGACGAGGGGGGGACATGATAGCAATGTTCCAATATCTCAGGGCTGCCCCAAAGAAGAGGGAGTCAAGCTATTCTCCAAAGCGCCTGAAGGCAGGACAAGAAGCAACGGATGGAAATTCATCAAGGAGAGAAGCAACCTAGAACTAAGGAGAAACCTCCTAACAGTGAGAACAATTAACCAGTGGAACAACCTGCCTCCAGAAGCGGTGAATGCTCCAACCCTGGAAGTTTTCAAGAAGAGACTGGACAGCACTTTGTTCGAAATGGAATAGGGTTTCCTGCCTGAGCAGGGGGTTGGACTAGATGGCCTCCAAGGTCCCTTCCAACTTTTATTATTATTATTATTATTATTATTATTATTATTATTATTATTATTATTATTATTATTATTATTATCGATCATCACACAGTCAGCCAGACTGGATTTGGCATTTTGTCTACCTATCGAGTCCTTACCCAGGACCTGGGATAGGCAGATGTGGAGGTTTGATGGTATTACAGGTATCGTCGCAGGATGGAAGCAGTTCCTAATAAGGCCGCCTTTTGCAATTGACTAATAGCGAATTTGTCAATGCCAATGATGGTGTTCAAGTGGTGCTCCAGTTGTTTTGGGATTGCACCCAAGGCGCCTATCACTATTGGTACTACCCTTGCTTGCTTTTGCCAGTCTTTCTATTTCTACTTGTAGGTCTTTGTATTTTGTTATCTTCTCCATCTCTTTCTCTTCTATTCTGCTGTCTCCAGGCACTGCCACATCCACTATCCAGACTTTTTTGTCTTTCTTATCGACATTATTATTATTATTATTATTATTATTATTTCCAAGGTCCCTTCCAACTTGATGATGATAATGATGATGAT